GCTTTAAATATTATTTTTAATAAACAACCTGCTGGTATCGGACATATGCAGGAAGCTAAAATTTATGTGAAAATAACTCAGAATTAGCTTGGCTTTTTAAAAAAAGATGTAATTTTCGAATCTCCCACTTTTTTGAAGATCAATTACAAAATAAAATTAAGAGAATGATTTGAAGCAATGGGATAAAATGAAGAGCAGAGATTTCACGATTAAAGTATGATTTCTGAGAAATGACAAAAAATAGGGAAAATGCCTTCGAATGAATTGATGAAGGGTGGAGTTGAAACAGAAAACCATATCGTCCAAATATCGACACATTTTTTTAAACGAAGTGCAGTCAATCGGTTAGATCGCTTGAGGAGATAACTCGTATCATGCTTAGTAAATCTAACGCCATTTCCATCAGTGACCTTATTAATCAAAAGTAACAAATATCCGTAATTTGATTACATCAAGTCTAATTGGCCGATACTTGCTGACAATCATTTTTATCGGGCCTACCGCTTCGATTAAATCAAATTCTTTCGTGTAGCCGAAAGTGTTTTGTTGACAATAATGGAAATGAAAGACCCTTCTTATTTTTGGCTAATTTCTCGAAAATGAGCTTATTGAAAATTTTGAAAATCACTCGAAAACTATCAAATGGCTTGTATAACCTGACTGCAAAATTTGAGCGTGAATGCATTAAATCTGTGCGGAATTCCACAATATTTATTTTTTTTTAGTTTGAGCTATAAAAAAAATATTTTCAAGGTTGCTAGGCTACAACAGGTGAGCTTAAATGTTAATCATTTGGAAATTTTATCTAATATCATGCGATTTGTTTGATGAAATCTAATTGAAGGATATCTGGAGAGGAAATGCGTTGAGATAGCCGAAGTGAGCGGAAAAATAAACTTGTTAAAACCTGAACGATGAGAGAGAAGGGAATCTCGAGGCTATTTTTGAAACTCGACTCGAAACCATCGAATTTCTCCTTCACGTATACTATTGAGGTCATTGAGAGCGTTTTGCCAGACAATAGCGCGAACGGTTCCGATAAGATTTTAATATTGATACGAGTTCCGCACGAGAAACGAAACTAGACATTTTCAAAAACTTTGCCATATTTTTCATTGGGTTTCTTGTCTGTTTCCAAATATAGGCTTTTTTGATTTACATTAAAATTGAGTTGGGTTAGATGCTTTTCAAAAAAAAGGAAATGCGCCATTGTGGCGCTCATTTGCATATAATCAACAACATCAATAGGGTGACAGGCTGAGGGCCTTTGAATGTCGTCTCACCGCGATGATTGAAATTTTGATGTCTCTCTCAGTTTTAGCGAAATTTAAAAAAAAAAGAATAAACAAATACAGTCCAAGAAATTTGCGAAGAAATAAACTCATGCAAACTCACTGCACCAGACGCTGGATACATACAAATTCTCATATTGTAGCTTCAACTATTGTGACGTACGATAGTAGTAATAAGTTTATTTTCAGTTTTATTTAAAAAGAGCAACATAGGGCAAAAAATATACAAAGTAATATTGCTGACGGTTTCTTGAATCCGTGGGAAAACGTACTACGGTCAATCTATGTACTAGGAAGTTGGGTAGATTTTCTCACTTGTCTTTTCCGCAAAGTACTGCTTAAAGAAGCTAATTATTAAAAACAACACCCAGTTAAACTTTTATTAGGGTTCATTCCCGATAGAATTAAGCTTATTTAATATTAGAACTTAGTCAAACCAGACAATCTGCTTAACACGCTAATTATGGCATGGTAATGTTCCACAAACTGCAAGTTCCATTTAACTCGGAAATATACGTCATTGTTTATTGCCACTGTCTCAAACGCGCCGATTTTTGCAACCAAGAAAACGTTGAAATTCTTTTCGTTCTCAACCCCTCCCCCCGCTTCAATACCTTGCAAATATTAAATTCGGTTTGCCGTGCAGGAAAATCTGATAAGATACAGATGTTGCACGGAGAGCTTCTTCTAGTGAAATATTGGCGTGTGGGATCTATTGAATTTGTTGCATTTCAATGATGAGGTCAAATGTCACGTGTGCTTCTCTTGCACTCTAATGAAGTGTATCAGACGCAATTAATTATTGACGGCTGTTCGGCGACACGGCGACAAGTGTTCAAAATATCTTACCGGTAGCGGTTCAACGTATTTCGGTTGGTAGGTTGGGTAGGGATACATTGAAAACTGGCGGCCATTCTGCTCGTCGATGTTGTTTTTAGGGTAAATCATTTTCACCGGACCATTCTGCAAAAAAACTAAGTTTCTATTAATTCGAAATAGTGCAAAAATGCAACAATAGACAATAACGAAGAACATGCGATCGATAGAATCATTTATAAACGAAACGGCGACAATTGGTTGCAATTTTGAGGTCTTTGCTTGCAAAAAAGTCTGAAGAATAGTTGAAACCAATCGTGATAATGTACGCCACAGGCGAACACACCACGCTCCTCCACCAGAAATAGATTTGGCGAGCACATGGAATAATGAAAATAGATGTTGCCGTAAGGCGGGCGGTGGGAGGGCGGGCGTGCGGGCGAGAGGTTGCGACGACGCCTGAAAACCACGGATATGAATCCAATCTCCGCCTCAAAATTCGCCACATTATAATTGTTGGTTTGGCGTGCAAACATTGCCTGACTGCGGAGACAAAATGAAGTTGTGGCGGGGCGGGAGGGGGAGGGCGTTGGCATGAGGTGGGGGGGGAAGGCATACACATTATTTTTAATGACAGAAATGTGTTGAATAATTTAATTTTTGTCGAAAATAATGAAAAATCAATCATGTGGAAGATATGAATGCCTTCATATCTTTTGACAAGCTCACCAAATTTAGGGTTCACCGGAACCATGGGAATGTCGATTTGGTTCCACACGAGACAAAAGTTGACAATTCCAAGTTTCGATACAAAAAAAAACATTCGTCGAAACAAAGGAAATAAAAGTATGAAATTGTGGCACACAATCGGAAACGCGTCTCCGATTATCATACGTCACAATTTCTGTACAGTTTACTTTTAACAAAACTTGATGGTAGATGTATTGAAATGACAAAAAAACAAATATTTTTAACGATTGTGTAATTTCGTCTTTGTTTCTTCGAACTTCCTTACTAAAATAGGGATAAAGAAACATTAATTATGAAATCCTCATAGGCCCAATGCGACTTAATTTACTATTGCATTGAAACAATGTACTCGGTAATCCGTGTTTTGTAGTTCAAGCAAAAATTATTAAAAAGTTGTTGGGTTCTAGAGCTGCATGCCAGACAAGACCTCGTACCTTTCCGCGCCAACTTCATAAACATCTATTGTAGTCGCATTGTCACCTTTGGTCATACATTCCCTATCGTTTGAGACGTCTTAAAAGAGAAATGCATGGCCAAAATCATAGCGCATAGCCATCTGCTTCACTCTATGTTTTGGTTGATTTCGGCCAGACAAATGCGAAAGGGTCCAATCTCCATATTACCAATAGGTAAGCGCGACATTCAGTTGCATGGCAACGAAAAATTGGGTGAAAGGGCGACACTTTCCAATAGCTTGAAACCCGGCATCATGTTCAAAGACTTATCCAATCATTATGATCGTTACGATAAATGAAAATGATCATAAGACAATAGTTTTGAGATGTTTCATTTTGTATTCCGTTTCATTCCTCCAATTGCACAGTTCCTCTTTGTTATTAATTAGTCATGCGGCATGCCATTTCAAAATTTATAAATGAATCAAAACATACGCTGGTTTTAAGAAATGGTCGTATACAGAGAATTATAGCGAATTCTGGAACTAACTTGAAAGTATTACGAAGTTGTTAATAAATAACAAAAACCGTTTACAAATGAATTTGTACTATTTGAAATACAAATTGAGTGAAAGGGAACTTGGAATATTTTTTTGAGAATCGAAACAAGAATAAGCAATGCGAGAAATATTTTCAACCTTGGCTGGGGACCATATTATCATCTGGAAATTTCGAAGTCATGGAGTCGTTTAGCATCGAAATAATGTTTGGGTGGGGCGATTATAGGAGAAAGAATTAATTAAAGAAAGAAGATTTGAAAGGAGGTGTCATCGGTTGGCTGGTAGTCCAAATGATGGTGATGAAGGCAAAATATGGGACTCTGCAAATATTTTATTATTACTCTTTAATTCCCCTAGCAACAATAATCATCCCCCTCATTAAAATTTTCCGCGCTATCATTCCAAAGACTTTTCTTGATAACGTGACCTATATCCAACCCAACGAACATTTGGCACAACATCACAGATCAATCTTTTTCACATCTCAAAGAGCATCTTTAAAACAACATAGTTTCACACTTTGCTTGTTTTCACGGTTTGTTCAACCTTCAAAAATTGTGGCATTAATCGCCGTTTATCATCGTAAATCTACACACTCATTTTATCTCAAACGCCATCTTCCGCAAATTATTGTCCTTTTGAAAGTGTAAATTCTATCGCTCTTAAATAAAACATACGATCTCTTGCTCAGCCTCGTCTTCAAATATTTTCCGTGAGAGGCTCTTTTGGAGCGCGTTTTTGTGCTGCTCTGAAGTCCGATTTCGCACTTGATCGGTGTCTGATCGACTTCTTATGTCTATTACGAAATACGGTTCTATCGCGAACAGGGTTCGTCAAGGATTCATTGCCTCGGAGAAGGCTCTGATTCTCTGAATCTTCTTCATCTGCCGAATGCGTTGCTCTCCAAAATTCTGCAAAAATTGTCTTGTTTATAAGTTTTCTTTCAAACGGAGTCACGTTTATCTTGGCTTGAGAGAACCCTTCGCTTTTTCCGTGTGCAAATCCCATTCATCATTGCATCTGAAACAGAAATTTCGTTAAACATTTAATTTGCATTATGTCAGAAACATTTTAAAATTGTAGAAAAGCTCTAAAACTTTGTTTTTTTTTTAAAGAAGCCAATTAGCTTGAATTTCCACCATTAAATTTGTTAGCATTACTAGAATGTCGTGATACAATTAGCATTGTTAGAAATTGCACAAACCTGGTCCAGGATGCCGCTTCCTTTGTGAATAGCTGGTCGAAGGACCTGAAGTTATAATATTAACATTTATTGTGTGTCGACAAATGTTATATATTCTCTATTAAACAAAATCTAATGAAGGCGCGTGAAGAAAAACGAAAGTGAAGTAGAGGAAAATTAAAATTGTCGATGTTTCGCCAAGATTTAATCTCGGCAGGAATTTTTTCTAGATTACCAACTGTCGCCACAAGCATTTCGAAACACACCTTCACCGTGATTCGACTTGTGATGGATTACCCAATTTCTCCTCTCCCCTACGTTCTTCTAATTCCTATTGCTCTCACTGATGGCGGCTACAGATTGTTCAACTTGGAATCCGATACTATCTAAGGGATTGGATTCTACGAATTCGACGTCTGATGGGGACATCTAGGTGTGACATTTCCCGTTTTGAACTCAAAACAACACCACCGCCTCAGTGTATGAAGTTTTTCGCATTCCTTGGAAGAAACTTGTCTGTTCAATTTACACACAAATCTCTCAACGGCCTGAAGCTTAATCCGTTCAAACAAGAGCTTTCAGACGATACGTGTAACTAGTTAGCTGGCGTGAGAAATCAGCAAGAATGTCGAAGAGCGTGTCTACGAGTTAATCCGCAAAATTGAGAAATATCAAAGGAAACCTTTGTGGAGTAGGCCTAATTACGTTATTACCTGGTCTTTCTTCAGTTTCTATTTTCTCATCATCATTTTCAGAATCATCTTCCTCTTCTTCGTTATCAGCATCATCAGCATCATCTTCGGCATCGTTGGCAGTAGATTTTTGTGAAGCTGCGTTTTTTTGCTTTTGCCTTGGGTCCTGATCAGAAATGGGCTCTGCACATGTCCTTTGAGTTTCTGCGAAGTTTCTTCCGCTATAATAATCCCATCTTCTATTACTAGGACCTGCGCCCTCATCGTCATATGTCGGTTGCATTGCCTCGACACTTCCTTCAACAGCCCCATTTTGAGGAACACATCCAATATTATCCGGCACACTTGCAAAATGTTTGTTTTTTCGTTTAGAATTGTATGCTGGCATTTTCTCCAAACGCGCTCGGCGACGTTCAGCGCGGGTCCGTCGTTTGCAAATTTTTTTCGATCGGTTCGACATTTTTCTTATGTTTTTCTCTGCGCGAGTTCTTATAAATTGTTTTAAGTCGTCAATATCCTTGCTGTTATATTCGACTGATATGTGCGTATACGAAATACCGGGAGTCGATCTATTAGTTGCATATAAGTAATTCATTTGTCGACGTCTGCCCTGTTCTTCCTCCCCTGGTTGGCACGGTGAATTGTTGAGACTTTCCGCGTTCAACATCTCGCTGTTGATTTCAATCCGACGCATGGGAAAACCTAAAATGCTTCAGTGTCAAATTATGAACAATTGCCCTAAGAAATACTTCTTCTTTCAATAAAGTGTTCGATTAGGGGATATCGTGAATTTCGAGACATTATTCCAACGTCATCTGGGGGCATTCCAAGAATTTCATTTTGCCTCGGGGCTGAAAAAAATTCGTATTTTTAAAAATCATAATCTACGTACTAGTCGGAAGTCCAAATAATTGACGTCGTTCTTCTTCAACGGAAACTGGTGCTAAATTTTAGAATATTTATTTGTTAAACGGTAATTTCCTTCATACAACTTTCTAGTCAACACTAATACGATAAATAAAAAACACTTACCAGTAAGATTTTCCATTGCCGAATTTTGATTAAATAGAGGGAATCCTTGATAACCTTGCCCCATTGCTGGTGGAGGCGGTTGCATACTCATCTGGTGATGGTTTGAAAACTGCGTTTCTTGCATTGGAGCCCATGGGACTTGTGGACGTTGGCGGTAATACAAACTGCAAGCATCTTGCGCGCTCTGAGGGTTTAATAGTGCATCTCTGTATAGCTGCTCATTAAGTAGATCGTTTGCTGGTGGCGGCGGCGTTCTTATACGAAGAAAATTGTAAGCATTGTGAGCATTATCGTCTGTAGATGGCTGATCGCGTCTAATCTCCTCCCCAGCTTGCGGCTGACCAATTAGAGCGGCCTCATAATTTGGTCTTGGATTTTCTGGCAGATGGTGCAGAACACGATAATCGGACACGTTTTGGACCCGATTTTCTTGATTGTTTTGCAACTCGGCTTCTTGTGATGGCACATTCAGCGGGCTGGATTCTTGTCTAGGATTTTCTTCTTGACGACCAAAATCTTGATTCCATGACTCATTATCGTCATCGCCAATTACTATCAGCTCGTCAACCGGTAGGGGCTCATCAAACTGAAGTGGACGGAAATCTCGTCGATGAAGAAGATTATCGGGATTCCATCTGTCCTGCCTTTGAGGACAGCGAAAAAGTCTTTGAATTTCATCTTCAATATTTGGACGTTGTTGACTCGACGCATTTGATTCGTCCAACTGTTGTTCATGCTGATGGCGACGGCTATTGTTTTCATTACTCCACACCACATGATCCGGCTGATGATGAAAAACATCCGCTGGAGGATGATTATGAAATCCAGCAAGTTGGAACCCATAGGAAGAATGTTGTTGCATATTTCTCCAGCTTTGGCTGTTTTGTCCTCTTTCATGTAGAGTCAGCTCAGGATAGTTATTTTCACGATTCCACGCATTAGGTCGATAATAATCAAAAGACTGATGATGGATGTTCAAACCAGCGTGTTGTTGAGGATTGCCTTGTTCTTCTTCACGTCGATTATAGACACGTTCTCCAAATAGCGCTTCAGAAGCTTGTGGCGGCCGATGAACTTCTAGAGGGTGCGCTAGTCTTTGTTGAACTGATGAAGCTTGCACGTTTTGTAGTATCGCACTTTCGAGTAGAGTGGCACCAGGTAGCTGAAATTGACGACCATGATGCAAATTTCCCAGTTCTGGTGTTCGAACTCGGCGATAATCTACTTCTGCTCTATCCAAATGCTGCATCATCCCCTGTTGATCTTGTAGACGCTGCAATCCTGCTTCCTCCAAAAGCAGCTGGCCCGATCCATTTTCTGGAACTTGGTGCTGAAGTAATCCTTCCTTTTCTCCATATTGCATTTTCTGAGGCTCAATTTCAGCCACCTGAGCTCTTCGATGGTCCAAAACTTCTGCGACAAACTGCTGATGCTCCATTCTTTGAAGAGGTTCATTGTGTAACTCAGCAACGTCCAAATTCTGTTGAGTACCAGCAACCGCGGCAGCTTGTCCTTGATCAGCTTCACCTCCAGCAGTTTGTTGCAATTGACTTTCTGCTGCTTCCTCATGCTGCTCGTCAGCATTAACCTCGTCAGCATGTTCACGGTTAAGTTCATGTCCGACAGATTGCTCGAAATTTTCATCGCTTCTTTCTTCTTGATGATTTGCATCCATTATCACATCATTATGATCATTCACTTCTTCTTCTCTCGGTTCTTTTTTATCATTCACATCTTTTCCTATTACATTGACAGCTTCGCCTGAACTAGTAATAGTTAGAGCTTTCAAGATATTTAAAGTCACCTTGGTTCTGCTCGTTGCGCACGTCGCCATCATTTTCAGAAACCTCGGCTTCCTCTTCTAAGATGAAGTCATTTAAAGTGTCCGGAATATTCAAGTAATTCGGATAAAAGTTGTTTCGTCTAGCGTATTGCATACGATCCGGCGGTTTATAAATAACTGAAATGTAGAAACTATATTCACAAAGTTTAATAAATTCTAACCGGCCATTCGTCCATCAGTAAAACGCATTACATTGCTAGGTTTCATCGTTCCGTGGTTCCCATGGAGTTCAACTGGCTCGTATGTGCAAAGGCAGATGTGACCTGTTAAAAATTAATCAACGCGATTTTAATTAGTTTATACGTTTAACATACATAAGTGATGTCGATTTCGTTCTACTGGATTGGAATGACATTTTTTGCAACAGCACACACCATATAGTTGTGCATTAGGTACGTTAATGTTGTCATCTGAAAACGATGTTTATTTTTTGACTGATACGAATAGCAATTTCTCTCTCCCCGTCCCCATTCTAATCGTTATATAAAACCCACCGTTAGTGAGAGATAAGGGAACTGGAGGTACTGGCGGCTCATCGATAGCCTGAGGAAGTGGACGCATGTATCCTTGCAATTCGTGTGGCACGTGCTGCGGGACCAGAGGACTATTTCCTGGACCGAAATGAAAATCGGGACCCAACATTTCATCTTCCTCGCGTTGCGTTAGATCAAATGGTATCTGGGGCACAACTGGCCGATTCAGGTCGACTCCCACTCCAGGGACTCTTTGACCGTCAAAGTAGCCGGCAATTTCGTTGCCGTCAATTGGCACTGAATCGATCCCTGGTTCAGCTTGCCGCTGTAGCGCTTCTTCGTTGTCGCTCTGAACTCTTGGTAGACCGCCGTCATGAAGTTTTTCATGAATTAGCTCTTTTTCAACTTGATGTACTATGGGTTGTTCATCTTGTTGATTTCCTAGTTCCATCATCGCTGGTTTCTCGCATTCAGCAGCATTTTCGGTTTGTGGTTGAACATTTTCAGCTTCTTGCAAAATTTCTGATGCAATATCGTGTGCCACGTGTCCTTGGTTCTCCACTAATTCTTCCATTTCTACATTATTCTGAACGAAAATTGGCCCATGCCGTGATGGAATCATTTTCATCAATAGTTCAGCAAAATTTTGCGAACTAAATGCTGTTTCTTGGTATAGAAAAGTAGATGGTGCACTTCTAGAAAGCAAATCGAGTTCTGGAACTTCATCCATCTTTGGTTGAATCGGGGGTTGTGAAAAAGATCTTTCCGGCGGTTCCATCAGTTCACTCGCATGACGTACTTCCGGCTGAACAAATTGGTTTTCCGCGTCAACATTTTTAGATTGGCTCGTATCATCATTCTGGTGTGAATTTGACGTTTCACGGAGTAACTTCTGCATCGCAGGTCTCAAGGAAGATTCATGTGGAAAATGATCTTGATCCAAAGTCGTATTTGAGGTAGTCAGGTGATGAAGGTGAGAGTCAATATGCTGCTCTTCGTTTGTAACAACTGGGTCTTGATAAACAATTTGATGATGAGGTGAATGATGATGAAGTTGCACCGTCTCTACTTGCTGGAATTCCTTATGCTCTTCGCTTTGTATATGATTCTGATCATGTTCTGATGGCGCACTCGACGTAGGCAAATTCCATGCTGTTTGTTCTTCTTGTATAGTCGGTTCGAGGTTTTCTAGCGGCATCAAATGCGGTTCTAAGTTCGGCGCACTGCCGTGCCAAATGTTGTGCCCATCTTGTCCTTGGTCCTTATTTTCATTCTGCTCAATTGGTGCTCCTGTACCAGACGCTTCCAGATTGACGGGAAATGTTTCGTTAATTGGTTCTGAACTCGATGCTACTTGTTGCTGGTATAATCCTTGGGCTGGCAGAATCATTGGATTTTGAATATCGCTTTGTATTACTTGAGCCATGGGCTCGACTCGTCCCAAAAGACAATTTTCTTCATGATGTTGCTTATTCAAAGGTTCTGTCGCGACTTCTTCAAATTGGTGTGCAATTTCTTCTTCTTCTTTCTCTCCATTATTTTCGAAATGAGCTGGTTGTTCATCATTTTGTCCAATCATTTGTACTCGTTGTGTTTTGTTGAGTTGCACTGCTCCTATATCTGGCTGACAATTTTCAATATCGCAGTTTTGAAAATTATGGGGGTTGCTTAATGGTCCATTGACACAATGAAGTCCGGTATTTTCTTGTGGTAATGACTGACACAAAAGTTCGGATTTTGGGGCAGTCGTTGATGGTTCCGTCAAAACTTGAAGAAAAGTGGCCTCAAATGGCTCCAACGGAGGTCTATCTACATCATGAACATGGGGCACATTATGCTTCTCCGTCGATGCTCCATTATGATTAGGCTTATCCAGTTGTAGAGCTGATTGTCCATTTTCAGCGGGCTCAAAACCAAGTGCCGGATGCTCTGCTGGCTCAGAAAAAGTGGTCTCAGGTTCAATCAGCACATGCCCCATTTGTCGGAGATGTGGAGAAGAGAGCTTTTCCAGTTGCTCATAACTTGGTGGTGAGAGACATCGCCTTTTATGAGCCGGAGTAAATGAGCCTGAAAATTAGGTTTTTTAATATATTTTTGGCCAATGCCGTATTAGTATAATTAGTTCAATTTATGGTTTGTCTAACTCACCATCTCCATTTTGCCAGCCAACATCGTCTTGTGCTGGAGTGATAAGAGCGCTTGCTCCACCTGGCTCATCCAGCAAACTTCCATTAACTTCTACACCCATTGGACCTATATTTTAAATTGCGTTCTTGAATTCAAGTCATTACTAACGTGCAGAATCCCAATGCAAATGAGCATCTCGGTTATCCAAACTCGGAACTCCATTCGATGATACCTGAACGGGCGACGTCTCATCAGCCGCATTAGGCGAATTCTCGAATGGTTCCGAACACGGAGAATCATCCGAATTTACGAGAATTTCACTCATCTGCAAACATTCGATAGAATTATTTCGGTAACAGAGCTTCATGAAAATATAATTGAGATACAAACAGAAATTGTGAGTGATCATTTCTATAGGAAATCGTGAGAAATATGACTATGACTATAGTACAAAAGATGTGATATGCAGATTTTGGCATATTTTGTATTATGATTCTTCCGCGTCGTGGGAATCCCAAGCGAAAAGGCTATGCAAGTATGATAAGAATTCAGAGCTTTGGTTCGACCGGTTACACTATACCAAAACTCGCTAAAAGTTTAAAAATCACATTTCCTCAATATTTAGAATTAGTACTTCCTTTTGATAGCTTGTAAAACTAAACCAACTCATCATAATGCTTTATTTCTTACCAGAAATAAATTTTGCTACAGTATAAATAATCCACGACAACTAAACAATCTATGATTTGACCGTAACTCTTAATATCTTTTCAAACTACTTTCACAATCATTCTATTTCTGTTCCATTTCTATTGACTGAGCATTTTATATAATTTTTAGAATGAAAATGATGCTAAAATCAATTCTCCTCGCACTCGCATTGACGTCGCTGTGTTCAGCGAAAGCCATCAAGCGTTTAGCGGAAAACTATGAGAATGAAGTGCAAGCTGTCTCAGTGCAGGGTCGTCTGTTTTGTGGTTCGAAAATATTGAAAGGGATTCATGTGAAATTGATCGATAGAGACCACGGTATTTCAAGCATTTTCTATTTTAAAAACATCTAGGTATTTTAAAACATTTAGGTGATGATAAGGATGATCTTCTTGGTGAAGCTCATACTGATGAACATGGCGATTTTCATATTACTGGAGGCACGCAAGAAAGCACTAAAATTGAACCAGCCATTAAGATCTACCATGACTGCAACGATGCTGACAAGGTTAGTTGAATTGTTATTGATAACGATAACGCAATTCGCGGCGAACCAATTCAACATTATTTTGCACTTTAGCTTTTTGATGTTGACAAATTTCGTTATCGCGATCTCCCTTCAAAGCGTGCTCACCCAATATGTATTGGTTTTCAGAAATGTCAAAAGAAATTATTTTGGGACATTCCGCATTACTACGTCACAACGAAACTCGACGCTATTTCGGTGTTCGATATCGGTTCCGTCAACCTCGAGATAACATTTGGTAATGAGCAACGTGACTGCCTTCATTAACCAACAACTTGTTTATTCTTGTATATACTTTATAAATATTATCAAAGAACAACACACCAGTCGCAAGAAAAGAAAGCAGTCAGATGATGAAGGATATAAGGTTATTGGAATTTGCTCCCTTTGAGGCGCAAATAGTTCACTTTTTGTCCTTTTATTCGAATATAATAAGCTTCAATTTAGACACACCATGTGGATAAATTCGTAATTGATATGCGTAATGTGATTTGAGGCAATATAAAAAAACTTAAATAAACGCTACTTGGAAACGTTTTTTTTTGGATTACGGTAGAAAAATAAGGCTATTTATGTTATGTTTTATTGAAAAAATGAACGATGTGATGGGGTAACTCGAAGACAATTACCAACATTTGTAATGAAGAAAAAGAAGAGGTCTCAACTGTGTAGAGAAGAACTCAAATTGCCAATTTGAACCCAATCTACCGCACCAATAAGTACATAAATCAAACCGAAAACGTCTCATCCCTTTTTCGTGATTTATTGAGTGGCATCAAAGCTACGAAACAAGAAAATCGAAAACCAAATAACCTGCCTAATCTGTTGGCGAAGAACCGCCGGTCACCGTTTTGGTAAATGATAAGATTTTCACATAGCGATGATATTCGCCGAAAAAAAAAACCATTATTACGGAGAAAATAGTAATTTTATTAGGGGCTGTTTCGCAGCATACAATTTCGCATTATTGATAAAAAATCGGCGATGGGAACTACGGAAATGATCGTGTCATGGGGCCGCCGTGTTTTTTTTTTTTGAAAGAAATGTTACTGCGCACTCGTCGCCACCAACCCATCAAAAAACAATGCCACATTCGTTGGTCATACGTGTTGATGGCTTTTTTTGGAAATAAAATAATATTTCGGTGACGTTTTAAGACGGTCACAAAGTGCAAAAATGTGTCATAAACAGGTACAAGCGGGCAAAAAAAACCTACAAAATAGTAATTTTCTGAGATTGGGTGGAGGTGCATCTCAATTACCCACCATGATTCTAGGAGTTCTCAATTATGCCGGAAATTGGAATAATACTATGATCGTTTAATTTAACGTCCAATTAAAACACAAATTTTGAGCGAATTGTTGAGGTCCCTCAATTAGCAATTTATAATTGGGTGCCAATAGTTCAACGGAATGAACCAAATTAAAATTCAATTCCTTATTACAAAAATCTGCAAATTATTGAAAAAAAAAGCGCAAAATTAAAAAAATTTTATTTGTGTGGTTTTCGCAAATATGTTCGACAAGTTTGACATATGTCAGATTAAAATTGCGCGAATAATCAACAACTGTGCCAGATGTTCTTAATATATATGTATGTTTCACACCACATGCTGCCATCGGCAACAGTTTTATTTTTAAATTTTTCAAATAGCTGATTATCGATCGAACCTACACCATCCTATAAACAGTTTCAACGGCTCGACGAATTTCACAAAAAATATTGTTTGAAATTTCCGGCAAATATTTGTTTGTTTTCAAAAGGTCACAAAAAAAAAGGCGAACGTTAGATGACGAAAAGTTTCCGTCGGAAAATGGACAAGTGCATCGATGTGTCATTGACGCTTTTGTGCGTCAGCCATTAACGGAGCTCCAACCTAAGAGCAACCCCCAACCCGACGGTTTATTGCACCGAACGTTGTAATAACGAACGGTCCGACCAGTCGCCTTCATCCCGCTCTCTTTATTCTGCCGCGATTTTTGACACCATAAAATCGGCATGATTTGAAGCCATTTTTTTGAGCGCCGACTTGAGCGCAAAAAACTGATTTTTAATGACACCAAGAAATTGGAAACACGTGTCACTAATATCTTCCTCTTGCTCATCCTGATCTAGGAAAGTAATTGAGGGTTTATCTCGCGGATCAGAGAGAAGATTGCAATCAGCATCTTATACAATTGAAATCTACATGACAATCATAAAGTAAAGATACCTGTCAAGAACGTTGCTGAGCTTCTTCTCTGATTAACTGAATATGCCGTACTTGCCGATATGCTTACTCGATGTTTTAGAGCGTTCAGCGTCAACAGATGGGTGGAGCCACGAAGGGGGGGGGGCGGTTCGAGAGACGCAGAGAAAATTGTCGAGGCGGTAAAGCGTGACGAGTTGCTTTGTCACTTCGAGAAGGCGGCAAATCAAAAAGATTCGTTCTGGCGGTGTATTCCATAAATCATTGTATTCGATTTCAAAAAAAAAACAATGAGAATTTCAAATAATTAAATTCCAATAAATTGAAAATTTTCGCCAGATAAACAAAACAAATATAATCATGCTCCGATTTTGCTGCTGGTGTTTGAATTTCATAAACATTTCATATCGGAACAATTTTAAAATTTTCGCGTGACCAGCATTGCGCTTTATTGGGCTAATAATAGTTTCATAACGCATTAAGCCTATCATTCAGGCAGATTCGTTGCTTTTTTTTATATCAGTGCACGTTGGAAAATGGATGAACAAGGGATGCGTCGGATATTATTTTTTCATCTATTTTTGATCCATCAATTTTCTTCCTTTTTTCATCGGCTTTTGAAATATTTTGTCCATTTTTCGAAAATGAACGAAAAAAGACAGATGAAAAATTGATTAAACATTGATCAAAAGTGGATAAAAAGCTGCTCTCCCTTTTTCTACCATTTTTAATTTATTTTCCATCGTGCAGTGATAAACGTTGCTAATGGATGGAAATGATCAGTTTCTGTTCACATCAACACTGGCATTTGAACTTGCAAAAAGAGCTGTCAATTTTCAACAAAATACCAGCAATGCCTATTATCTAGTTTAAAGGTCCTTTCCAAATTTCTTTTATACATACATATATGTAGTTTAGAATGAGGGAAAACAATTAGAAGTAGTCTTCAATTTCGTTCGCTGCCCAAAAAGGAAGAAGGATGCAATGTGTCCGCTCACAATTTTTTTTCAAACAATGAAATGGTTGCACAATAATGTTTTAAAAGTTTTGTATTGAATGCATCACGTTCACAATGCAATTGAAAATAATGGGAAACGTAACTGCATTGTTTTGTGGCTTTGTGGGAATGAGGATTTGCATATAACGGAAATTGAGCAATCCTTCGTTGTTTTGTTTTTCTTTTCTGATGAACAAGTATTGTTTTATCATACATTTTTTTGTTTTTCGAAAAAAAATCTCACGTTGCTTTTGTATCTGAGATATAAAAATATTTTAGTTATCGCTGAACAGCTTTTGGTTTATGGTTTGCACTTTTGTCAGAAACAACCATTCCTTGTGGGAATAAAGTTTATTGATGGGCGAGTTGAACAAATTTTGGGCAATGAGGCCAAGGGTTAACTTTTTTATGGTGCGAAGATATTGGAGAATTCATTCCTTGCTGAAGCTCTTGTCAATACGAATTTTCTCTATAATTAGTGCATGCTAGATTTGGGTGGGCGATATTTTCATTTCCATTTCAAATATTTGATTCCTAAAAGGTTCACATCTTCTAGTTACAAACAGGCAATCAACTATCGCTGCAATTATGTTTTATCTGCAATCTTCGATATTAATTTTGCGTAACGTAAATGTGAGTAACATATTTCAGAAGCCGATTGCTATTTCTAAACATGAATAATAGGAAAATTGAAATTGCATGTGAAAATAATTCAAACGTTCTCTCTGGGATCGTGCATTTGATTAGGTTTTTTTCATGATTGGGAACTTGTGCATTTTGGGAAAAGTGATTTGAAGTAACGATTACTACCGCCCGTTATCGAAAGTGCGTGTGATTGCTATACAAAACAACTCTGTCGATGACGAAAAACTTAAATCTATAACTGGACTTTTCTCACGCATGCCCCACAATACGCTCATTACAAAAATGAATTTCCAAAATGACTTTGAAAACATGAGAGAGAAGAGATTTAATAATTGCTTGAAATGCTCACGCTAATGGGTTGACATCATTTTTGCACCACTGAAATAATCATCATGGAGTTTTTTTTGCTTTACAGAATTAGTCAAACCCATAATCGACGGTCATTTTTTTATCATTGGGGCTCAAGCTATTTCCAATATGATATGGGCGTTTAGATGAGCCAAACTGGGTGTTTTGGTCAAAGCGTGAAGCTTACAGATTTTGTGTATTACTAAAAATGTTTTTATTGGTTTTCCTCGATCCCTTGATTTAAAAAGCCCAATTTGAATAATCCTTGTAAAAACCGAATTCTCATCACAATTTATAACCCCAGCAGAGGTAGCAACCATATATCACTCTTAATTTGAAACTAGTTGGAGAAGTATAAACATGATGGCATAACACTACTTATTTTTATTAGACAACCTCACCACACATTTTTTGTAGGCATCATGCTACAAAGATTTACGATGTGTCACGAAATATCGAGAAATTTTGAATGGAAAGGGGCTTTTTGCAGAACATCGTCAATTGGGTACAGAACGATTAATTGGAAGAACGGATTGGATAATGGATGAAGAGCGAATGGACGACGTCAGGCGTCTGCGCTCATACCCACCATACCCAATTAATCTAAAGAAAACGCGGCTCGATTCGGGTCCCAGTAATCCGAGGCGCTCATTCAATCACCCGAAAAAGGGCTGCGGCTCCACGATTCAAAGCGAATATATATGTCGGGGTGTGTGTCGGTGCATGGGTGGCCGCGTTGTAAATAATGGCTTTAGCCTCAATCACACAATGACGTCTCCAATTCGAGCGCGAGCGTCGCCAACAAATAATATCCGCATCGTCTTAAGAATGAATGAATTAATTTTGAAGGCGCTTCATGTTCGTGTTTTTTTTAGACCCGTCATCCATTTTATGCTACTGAATTTGAATATCTCTTCAAATACGAGCTCATGGGACACCAGCTTAACAAGGGATTAGGCGTTTGGATAACAGACAAATAAGAATTATAGGACAAAGGTAAAATAAATGGGTCCGGCTGGCGCGCAAGGTGCAGCGGATTATCGTCGGTGCCGAAATGAGCTCATTTTGAAAAGACGTTAATTGCACATTGGGAAACCTTTATGACCGAATAGCATTGATAAATAACATAATAAATAGTGGGACAAACAATATTTGGTCAAATCAATAAACAACGAAGGGACTGGCAAAAAAATAAAAAAATTAATTAGGTTGGATGCGATTAATTTCTTCCCGAATTCTTGGAATTATATCGGGAGAGACTTTTTGTATCGTTGGAGCCACAGCATCTGCAATTTGCTATTCTCAAACTCAAAAGCACATTCGATTGAACTAACCAATCAGCTTCCTCCATGGATCGTTTTGAGTCATCTCGTTTTTTGAGTCGGTGAACGCATTAAGAGCAGCTGAAGTCTGCGAATTGGATAAACATGGAACACCGGTTTACCTGAGAAATAATTATTGGCTTGCTGACCAATTTCGGTGAAATTCAGCGATTGGCTTTGAAGTTGCGAGAGTAGCGGATTGATTGAGGTCAGTGTTCTTGGAGTTGTGAACACAAACTCCTCAGGGGGTCGAAGGAATGGCGTTGATCGAATACACCATGGGGAAACAAATTAAATTCCCAAGTTTAAATCCATAAGATATTATTCAAAATACCTTTCCTTCGTCTTCTATTGTTGCATCATCCATCCAGTTGATTTCAACTTTAAATGGTTGCTGAGATGTGGCATCAGGTGGCAAATTCAAATTAAAAGCGACTGGCGGCGATGAAATAACAGACTCTGTAATTTTTGTAATCCAGTAGTATAGGAATGAGGGATTTGAATACCATTTTCGACACTTTGCTATTTTGAACGTTATTTCATTCTCTGATGTCAGAGAATCACCTCATTTACACCACTTTTTTGAAAAAAGTGAGAAGTAACTGAATTTTTGAAGCACTAAAAAGTGCTTATTTTCATTAAATTTTATGCATTTTCAACCAAATTTTTGTTGAGATGTCGATTTCATTTTTCATTTTCAATTTTCATGCTTAAATACACAAAAATGTGTCATTTTCACACTTAAAAAAAATCAGTGGATGTCGAAAATGTTGAAAAGTGATATTATAAATTTTATTGCTGTTTAAATGACTCCTAGATTCAAACTAGAAAAAAGACTTGAAGCTATTAACCAACTATGACCTTCTAGAACTCATCAAATTATTAAAGTCAAGAATTTCCGTGGTGTTTTCATGAGAGATACTTTGCCAAGTAAGATAAAAAATAAAGAAGTTGGTATTGTGAATCTAGACTCTTCAGATAATCAAGGTACTCATTGGGTTTGCTATTCTGAAAATAAAATAAATATTTATTACTTCGACTCTTTTGAATTAGATCCACCACTAGAACTTCAAGAATATCTCAAGAGTAGAAATAAGAAAGATAAAATATTTTTGTCAACATTTCAAATTCAGAAATTCGAAACCCATTATTGTGATCATTATTGTTTACTCCTTCTAAAATTATTAGAATCTTATGAAAATGAAAAATCAGTAATTGGTCTGATATGAATACCATCATTCATCACAGCACCTTTCGGAGACACTGGAGATAAGCCAGTTTTACTCAATTCATAAGTCTTCATCATCTTATCGATGAATCTGAATCCTTTATTTTCTCCAATAGTCAATTCATTATTCATTAAACATTGGAGGTATTTTTCTTTGGCTAAGATATCCCTATTTCTACCTTTTTGAATTCCTTTAGCAGAAAATTTATCTTCTTTTCTACCCCAAACAAAGTAAGTCTTACTATTCAATGCAATCATTCCATTACCTTATTTTTCAACTTTAAATAATTCAGGTGTTCTTTTATCGTATGCTTTGAAATCTTCTCTGGGGAAAAAATTATGTTTTCTCTTCTCGTATTCTTCTCTCAATTGTGGCTTGATGAGACTTTCAAAATCTCCAGAAAGAGCCATATATGTTGAATCTGTATCCATTTCTAATCGTTGATAATCTTCCCTAGGAATAAAATAATCAATTAGATCATAATTGAACTGTAACATTCTTAACTTAGAATCATCATACACACTACAAGCAATTTGAATTGGCACGTTTTGATTAACTTTTTTCGATTTTTTAACAACTTCATATACTTTAGGGAACCCACTTTCACCTACATCATATTCTTCAGCATCGTAGTAAAAATAATCATTTTTAGCTCTATTAAACTGTATTTCATCACACATTTTCACTTTTTTATGTTTATTTTTATCCATTCCTGTTATCCCAAAGGCAGAATTTCCAACTAATTTGGCTCCTTCAGATATTATACCATACTTTTGATCAACATCTTCTTTACGTCTTTCATCAGATACCCAATTCATAAAATCTTCGAAAATTCTTCCTCTTTTAGCTTCAATGACTCCATGTAATTTTGTAACAACCCAACCATGTTCCAACATCCACCTCAATCTTGGATGAGCCCTAACGTCTCATCATAAGCTTTGAATAAATTTTCTAATGTTGTTCCAGCAGCACAATATCCCATCTGATCAAGAAATAAAAAATCATTAGTTTTTATAACTTTATATCTATTAGCTCCTTCTTTGATAATGCAAGGTTCTTTACATCTTTTGATTATTTTACTCATAAAACCTTCGTCAGCTGCTAAATTTATATCATAACCCCCACTATTGAAACCTAAAATAGGAACAACATGACAATATTCTTCCACTTTTTTCAAATTTTCATCATCTTCAACATCTGATAATTTGTTTAATAATGGTGACATCTTTTCCATCATCAAATCACCAGCTTTTTTAGAAAGTTCATCAAAATATTCGAACATGTGTTTTATTAGATCTTTAAGATTTTCAGACAATATGAATTTCTCATTCTCAAAATTAGGTACATCGGAAGTTATTGAAACTGAGACTGGTAGTGTGTTTCCTGATATAATTCAACTTTTTATCATCCTAGACTACATCATTAAATTCCGGGGTTCTTCGAAGTAGATAAATTTCTTTAAATTGAATAGCTTCAAAATCAAACACAATGAGATAATCATACCTAAATTCTACATCAATATCATAATAGTCAGAAAGTTCAACTATAATATTTTTTTCTTATTCCACAATTTTGGATATTTTGCTCGAGTTGATATGTATCAATATGTTTTTGTAGATTATAATTATCTCTACATTTGAAACCACATATATTACACACGTAGGTTTTACTCAATTTCTCTAAATCAGTTAAGTATGAGAAGTGATCAAGATATAAATTTAGATAAATAGGTCTTCTTTCTTAATTGAATTTAGTTTTTCTGATATAAGAAATACGAATGTCTTGTTCTTTTTCTTCACTATTAGGATAACAACTAAAAATATTGACTGCAAGTCCTCGATACATTTCTTCAAAATGATCTAATTCATTCACTAAATCAAATCCTACATATTCTTCGTATTTTCTTTTACCTCTTTTAAAATTTTTTCCTAAAATTTATCAAATATTTCTTTTATTTTATTCGTGTATCTATCAGTTCTACATCCTGTAGCTAGTGCGATACAATTGAAGAAACACATATTATTTTCACTATTTTCTAAGCTAACATGATATATTTTGAATCTTTAATATAATCAGCCAACTGAATTTTACTATCGATCGGAAAATCTAATCTAGTGATTTTTAAACCCATTGCATAGATTTCAAGAATGATGGTTTTAGAATCTGTCGACTCTTACTTAAATGAATTGTATTCGGTCTAGAAATTAATTTCAGCGTTTTTTTCGCATATTAAACTATAAAAAACTGGCAAACTTAAACAAAACTTTCATTCAAATTAATTTCCGTCATTAATAACAACATTTTCCCAGAGTTTTGCCAACTTATGGATTCCATCATAATAGAATTTTTCTGGTTTGGACGCAGTCCTTTCATCTAGCCATTTTTTGACGTCTTTATGATCTCGAAAGCGCTTCTCCGCCAGACCATGAGCCATAACTATTTGCCAGCACTTTTAAGAAGTTTCGAGTGAGACCAAATTCGTCGAGTTCTCTCTTTCTCCAACCCAGATCTATTGGTGTGACATTTGCCCCAGTTGAACACACGCACGCGACGCGAGACGCAAACTCATTGGGCTAGAGTGGAAGGCAGAGACGCAGAGGAAATTGAGAGACGCCAACATCACATCCTTCCTTTGTGAATAGAAAAATTTTTCTTTTGCTTCTGTGTTCGTATTAATTGCGTGATTTCACATCAGTGAATATCATTGTTATTTTCTCCGCAGCTTTGAGTTTGTTAACAACTTTTCCTACTTTCCCTCTCTGTCGAATTAATCGAATGTGTTTAGAGAGTCCAGCCTCTGAGCTTCTAGCATGTCTCGACGTTTTGTTTCGGTAAGTTAAACTTTAATTTTCTGCTTGTTTACTATTAAATGAACACTTTCAGCAAAATGCTCGCCGTCTTTATAGAAAGTTCAGAGACGTTAGGGCTTACATCCAAGTAAAGTGAGAATTTGATTTCCAATTATTTTTTTTTTACTTTTTATTTTGCTTTATTATTTAATTTATATGTCTTAGATGGTATAAAGGAATGGATATGGACACGATGGAAGTCTATAACGATGCTCTTATCGAGAGCATTGAGGAAATTGATGGTCTATTTCGACGAGAATCAGGTATGCGAAACCTCTCAACTTTTTGCTTTCCTTTACGACAACTTTAAAAGCATTATTCTTACTTGATAAATTTAAAACTTTACCTGGAATTATCAAAAAAAAATTGTTTTTAGTTCGTGGCCACAAAGATCCCAGCATTCTCTCGCCCAATGTCGACAAAGTATGTTTCTTTTTATTATTCCGTTAACAATATATTATAATATTTGACTAATAGATTTTAAAAAATGTATACATACTCAATTACCAACTGACTATTGTATTTAGCGTTCCGCGACATTGAAAATCATACTCCGACTGAAACGACAGATCAACGCTCTTTGCATTCTCGCGGACATTGCTGAACTGGGTATTTTTGCATATATTTTAATAATGTTTTATATTTTATTTATTTTGTTTTATAGGTCTTGGAGCAAATGCAGATGAAGCTAGAGTCTTATCTCGAGGAGAACAGCTGATGGATCGACTGTACGACGTGGTTTCGCCGGAAACGTCGCTTGGTGATTCTGATAATGACTCCAACTGAAGATTCTGCTTATTATTTTATCTTCTATTTTTTTAAACCGTAAATGTGACTATTCACATTTCTCTTGTTTGTATATTTTCGGGTAAACGTTTCTAAATAAAAACACTTGTATAAAGAATTAGCCTTATTTTTTATCTTCAGAGATAATACCACTTTCTTTTAGAAATCGACATCCACTGATTTTTTTTTAAAGTGTGAAAATGACACATTTTTGTGTATTTAAGCATGAAAATTGAAAATGAAAAATGAAATCGACATCTCAACAAAAAAATAATTGAAAATGCATAAAAATTAATGAAAATAAGCACTTTTTAGTGCTTCAAAAATTCAGTTACTTCTCACTTTGTTCAAAAAAAACCGAAATGAGCTCATTTTGAAAAGACGTTAATTGCACATTGGGAAACCTTTATGACCGAATAGCATTGATAAATAACATAATAAATAGTGGGACAAACAATATTTGGTCAAATCAATAAACAACGAAGGGACTGCCAAAAAAATAAAAAAATTAATTAGGTTGGATGCGATTAATTTCTTCTCGAATTCTTGGAATTATATCGGGAGAGACTTTTTGTATCGTTGGAGCCACAGCATCTGCAATTTGCTATTCTCAAACTCAAAAGCACATTCGATTGAACTAACCAATCAGCTTCCTCCATGGATCGTTTTGAGTCATCTCGTTTTTTGAGTCGGTGAACGCATTAAGAGCAGCTGAAGTCTGCGAATTGGATAAACATGGAACACCGGTTTACCTGAGAAATAATTATTGGCTTGCTGACCAATTTCGGTGAAATTCAGCGATTGGCTTTGAAGTTGCGAGAGTAGCGGATTGATTGAGGTCAGTGTTCTTGGAGTTGTGAACACAAACTCCTCAGGGGGTCGAAGGAACGGCGTTGATCGAATATACCATGGGGAAACAAACTAAATTCCCAAGTTTAAATCCATAAGATATTATTCAAAATACCTTTCCTTCGTCTTCTATTGTTGCATCATCCATCCAGTTGATTTCAACTTTAAATGGTTGCTGAGATGTGGCATCAGGTGGCAAATTCAAATTAAAAGCGACTGGCGGCGATGAAATAACAGACTCTGTAATTTTTGTAATCCCATTTTGTGCCAAAGTGGGCGGAGTCAACGTATTTTTCTGAAAATGAACACCATTTGTTTAAGAAAATCAGAAATTTGCAATAAACCTCGGCATTTTTGAAACTCCAAGGTGTATATTTTCTAGTTGAAAGCGTCGCTGGAATCGTCCTTGTTGTTCTCACTTGATCCTTTATCGCCACTTGCTCTTTCATCAAAATTGGCGTCCTAACCGTTTTTGCCGCTGTGGTGGCAATGGTGGGAACAATGGTGGTGGTAGTGTAGGGGTTTGGCAGAAACTTTTGAACAACATCATTTCTCGGCGGACTTCTCATATTTTTTGTGTCAACAATAACCGTCTTGATGACGGGGAGCGTTGGGGTCACACCGATTCTCGTCCTCTGATTTGCCTTGGAATTGGGATCAGTTCGCCTCATAATGGGAATGCTTGTCCTCGTGTAAATACCATCAATAACGTCTGGAGCGTTGTCGGGTTTTGAGGGATATACGGTTATGAGTGTTGAGGAAGCATCAGGCACCACTGGCGTCTCCGGCTTGATCGATTCCGATGGAAGGCCCTTTTTTAGAAGGACTGGGGAGGGTTGCACATCATATTGGCATTGTACGGGATATTCCCTATTTGTCAACACCTGCAACCGACAGTTGTTATGAATCATATTGAGCATTCTTTTGAAAACCTGTTGCATCTGCGCGAAAAAATCGGCAGCTTCTTTCGAACAATGATTCTCAATTTTCAAAATCGTGCAAGCGGCGACTTCAGATAGTTCAACTCTTGCTTGACATGGACCACTGGGGCACATTTTTCTGAAATACTTCATGTCAAAAATATCAATATATATATAAATATTCATAAATACCTGCAAGATTGGAGCTTCTCTTGGTAAATAGTGCCGGTTTTATCGCAATCACCCATTTGCTCATTTTTAATGATTGTTTGAATACATTGGCTATGTTTGAGGAAAATTTTTTGTCTCTTCAAAACATGGATGATAATGGATTTTCCAAAATTATACTCATTTACTTGCAAGGAGAATGGAGCGCATAGGTATGTGTGAAGTCGTTTCCCCCTGTCTAACTGCGATTTCTGAAGGGGAGTTCCACACATTGAAATTCTTTGGTCGAAACATGGAAATACTCTGCCAAACGTCCTAAATCGCTAATGTCAATATTATGAATATTATTTCAATACGAACTTGCATGTGTGCATTAACTTCGCTTCAGAAGTTATATTGAATATCACATTTAATGGATTCACATCAAAACCGACCTAAAAAAATTTGAAGCTCAATATACTTCAATTAAGAATGTAATCTGACTTTTTGAGTGTTAAGCTGGACGACACATGGTAAGAAATCCTTCAACTGGCAGCAACTGGAAATCGAAAAAAGGATTGTGGAAATGAGGAGAACTCGCATTTGGCGTTTTCCCGTTGCTCTACCCACAATCTGAAATTATTCATAAATTGATGAATTTGGTGAAACGTGTTCAAAAATCATAACGACGGCAAACTTGGGCGAATAAAATTGTGTATCTCATATGCGCGGCGAGTCACTCCACGCCGATGGTGTCATTTGCGCCGCCCAGCGCGTTCTCGCACAATTTTCTGGTTTCCTACCGTCTGAGCAAATATTATATACAACCGGGCGGGTGTGAGCTGCACCACCTAATAGAACGGAAATTGGTATTCCACGCGATCATCAACCCGTCGTTAAAAAAACGCATAATTTTTTTTCGGCGCGCGCACCTGCGCAAAATTTCATACAAGGCTTGAAAAAAACGCTCAGGCAGACAGACTAATCGGCAGACGATTTTTTTTTAATGTGAGCATGACAGAAGCGAGAGCAAAAATTGATTATGACGTGGTGATTACGATCAGCGGTGTTTGATTTTGACGTGAAATTCTTTCCGGCTGGAAGCATTTTCTATTTGTTTGACTTTCCAAATCCACTTAAACACATTAAAAGATAAATTAAGCATTTCAAGGATTTCTCTATAGAATTTTTTTTTGAAAACTCGGTGTCACTTTTGTCCATCAAAACTTCTATAAAATTAGACTGCTTCAAACATCAATCTATATTTTCAGTTATTTGAGTACAGTAATCCAATCCTTTACACCAAAGATCACAAATGCACAAATTCATATTTTAAAATGTAAACGTTTTCTACTTTTGTTCTATCGTTTAATGATCCTTTCAAATGCGAGCTCAAAATAGTGTGAATTGTTGTTGTTGACTTCCTATATCAAAATCTGGTCGGTGAATATGAATAGAAGAGCAATGGTAACACGATCTAGTTCAAATGAAGACAGCCGTTTGCCTTGCGTGTTCTAACCCTGATGTCAATGACTGGCACTAAAGTATATAAACCATGTTGATTTAAATGACCTTAACACAATTGTTCACTATGCAAACATTTCGAGACATATATTGCATTTCGTCTTCAAGTCTGCACCTTCATTATTTGTATAGATTTATTCAATGAACAAATTATGAATGGCAATAGACCGATGCAAAATATCATGACACATCACAAAATCAATTTGAAGAGATTCGCTGGAGATCATCAATGCTTCCTGGCCAAACCACAAGACAAAATATTCCTGAATGCGTTCCGGAATCGCTGATCAAACACCGTATAGATAAGCGGGTTCAACGAGGAATTGAGGCTGCAAATTTGAAAAATGATTAGCTAGTCTCATCCAGAAACAAAAAAACGTGCATTATGCACAATTGGTTCAGCTAAATTAGTTTAAGTAGAGCCTCACTTCATTCTTTTACGTCAGCGGCTTTTTTTGAAGCTATTTGAGTAAGCTATTATGTATGAATACATATATATATATATATACACTTACTAGCCGAGCCATGTTGCGAGATATAGTGGAAGTAACCCGATGCAACTATTGTTGCCATCTTGAATTAAGCACATTGAATTGGTAAGGTGGAGAATAAAGAATGGGAGCCAACAAATTAGGAATACCGCTAAAACATTTATTATATATCAGCTAAACACATTTCAACAAAGCTACCAAAGAAAACAAAAGAAAGAGCATCTGCGTTTCTTTACCACTTTTACTCTTGAGAGGTACTACCCATGCAAACTTACTAAAACAATCTATGACAGTTAGAAGATACCTGAAGCCATCATTTTCATCTGCACACCCTTGCATTTCTACTAAATCTGATTGCCTCTGATCATCTATGCGATCAAAGTAAACTCTTTGACACTTGAAGTTCTTACGAGCTGGCTTATGTAAAGTATTGTAAGTGAGTCATAGGGGCAAAATCAGGTCGACCAGCGACCGGAAGGAGGTTAATATATATTTAATCAACCCTCCGACAGGAAGCAATAATCCAAGACCTTTATCAATGTCATCAGCTCACCCCCTATTTAAGCGATGCTCGGGAAACGAACGAGGAGGTAGGAAGCTGGGAGACACGCTTTAAGTCCACACTATTTCGTTACTCATTCCATCGTTCATAAATAAACTCTTAGTTGTTTATTGTTTGTTTCCAACACGAATCCATGAACATGGAAAGAATCGGGAATATGGCCCACAAGGCCGGGGTTTGCGCACACCCTCAATTCCCACACTGTATAAACATCCTTCTGATTCAGGAACTCTTTGACATCTTTTGATAGGCTTCTTTGTTATTCTTGATAACTCATTGATGCCACAAAATCCTGTTTTAGAAGAATAATATGATTTTTCTAGAAGATCTCTTTCACCTTCAGCGAAAGCAAGCTTCCTAGAAGTGTTTGTGGATTGTCTAAGAATTTTAGATTTTTCACTAATTTCAACCTCTTTGATATCTTCTAATCCAGAACCTCCTGTGATTGTCGGAATTAGCTTACACTTTATTGTATTACAATCTTGGCATAACCCTTTTATCATTGATCGTTTCCTTGACACGAGAAGCATCCTCCATCTTATAAGAAAATATTGAACTTTGCTTGAAAAACATCTTCAAAATGAAATAACAACACAAAAACTGAAGAAATTCTGCGACGCAAATCGTTCTTAAATAAGACACTTTGTCCTTTCATACCTGTTTGCCAGCACATTCAAGAAGTTTCGAGTGAGACCAAATTCGTCGAGTTCTCTCTTTCTCCTTCTGTTCTTTCCTTCACTAGATGAATGTCTTACAGATCCTTTGGTGTGACCTATAAAAGTCAGCAGTGCTCCCTTTCTCTTTGTGTGACCTTCTTTTCTCTTCCTAACTCTGACCGAGCACAGTCATACATTTGCCCCAGTTGAACACACGCACGCGACGCGTGACGCAAACTCATTGGGCTAGAGTGGAAGGCAGAGACGCAGAGGAAATTGAGAGACGCCAACATCACATCCTTCCTTTGTGAATAGAAAAATTTTTCTTTTGCTTCTGTGTTCGTATTAATTGCGTGATTTCACATCAGTGAATATCATTGTTATTTTCTCCGCAGCTTTGAGTTTGTTAACAACTTTTAATACTTTCCCTCTCTCTCGAATTAATCGAATGTGTTTAGAGAGTCCAGCCTCTGAGCTTCTAGCATGTCTCGACGTTTTGTATCGGTAAGTTAAACTTTAATTTTCTGCTTGTTTACTATTAAATGAACACTTTCAGGAAAATGCTCGCCGTCTTTATAGAAAGTTCAGAGATGTTAGTTCTTACATCAAAGCAAAGTGAGAATTTGATTTCCAATTATTTTTTTTTTTACATTTATTTTGCTTTATTATTATATGTCTTAGATATTCTGAAGGAATGGATATAGACACGCAGGAAGTCTATAACGATGCTCTTATCGAGAGCATTGAGGAAATTGATGGTCTATTTCGACGACAATCAGGTATGCGAAACCTCTAAACTTTTTGCTTTCTTTTACGACAACTTTAAAAACATTATTCTTACTTGATAAATTTAAAACTTTACCTGGAATTATCAAAAAAAAATTGTTTTTAGTTCGTGGCCACAACGATCCCAGCATTCTCTCGCCCAATATTGATAACGTATGTTTCTTTTTATTATTCCGTTAACAATATATTATAATATTTGACTAATAGATTTAAAAAAATGTATACATACTCAATTACCAAATGACTATTGTATTTAGCGTTCCGCGACATTGAGAATCATACTCCGACTGGAACGACAGATCAACGCTCTTTGCATTCTCGCGGACATTGCTGAACTGGGTATTTTTGCATATATTTTAATAATGTTTTATATTTTATTTATTTTGTTTTATAGGTCCTGGAGCAAATGCAGATGAAGCTAGAGTCTTATCTCGAGGAGAGCAGCTGATGGATCGACTGTACGACGTGGTTTCGCCGGAAACGTCGCTTCGTGGTTCTGATACTGACTCCAACTGAAGATTCTGCTTATTATTTTATCTTCTATTTTTTTAAACCGTAAATGTGACTATTCATATTTCTCTCGTTTGTATGTTTTCGGGTAAACGTTTCTAAATAAAAACACTTGTATAAAAAATTAGCCTTATTTTTTTATCTTCAGAGATAATACCATTTTCTTTTAGAAATCGACATCCACTGATTTTTTTAAAGTGTGAAAATGACACATTTTTGTGTATTTAAGCATGAAAATTGAAAATGAAAAATGAAATCGACATCTCAACAAAAAATTGGTTGAAAATGCATAAAAATTAATGAAAATAAGCACTTTTTAGTGCTTCAAAAATTCAGTTACTTCTCACTTTTTTCAAAAAAGTGGTTGAAATTTCGGAGGATATACGGTTATGAGTGTTGAGGAAACATCACTCACCACTGGCGTCTCCGGCTTGATCGATTCCGATGGAAGGCCCTTTTTTAGAAGGACTGGGGAGAGTTGCACATCATATTGGCATTGTACGGGATATTCATTATTTGTTAATATATGAATATTATTTCAATACGAACTTGCATTAACTTCGCTTCAGAAGTTATATTGAATATCACATTTAATGGATTCACATCAAAACCGACCTAAAAAAAATTTGAAGCTCAATACATTAAAAGATAAATTAAGCATTTCAAGGATTTCTCTATAGAATTTTTTTTTGAAAACTCGGTGTCACTTTTGTCCATCAAAACTTCTATAAAATTAGACTGCTTCAAACATCAATCTATATTTTCAGTTATTTGAGTACAGTAATCCAATCCTTTACACCAAAGATCACAAATGCACAAATTCATATTTTAAAATGTAAACGTTTTCTACTTTTGTTCTATCGTTTAATGATCCTTTCAAATGCGAGCTCAAAATAGTGTGAATTGTTGTTGTTGACTTCCTATATCAAAATCTGATCGGTGAATATGAATAGAAGAGCAATGGTAACACGATCTAGTTCAAATGAAGACAGCCGTTTGCCTTGCGTGTTCTAACCCTGATGTCAATGACTGGCACTAAAGTATATAAACCATGTTGATTTAAATGACCTTAAC